TATGTGTATATATATATATGTATATATGTATATGTATATGTGTATATATATACATATATATATATACATATAGATATACATATATATATATACACATATATATATACATTTTGTCACAGCCAGGCTCAGAGACTGAGACAAAAACAGGGAGACAACAAGCTGGCTGCTAAAAGAAAGCAATTTATTTGTAGCAAACATAAGTAAACCAATATAACAGCACTCAAACAATAACCGAAGCAACAGTGTTACACCAGTGACAACAAGGCTCTTCCTTCCAGCCCCGGGCTGCTGAATGAAGAGGGCTTTTAACGCAGAACCACAACGGCCCAGGTGTGGCTCATCCAGCTGACGACCCTCCAATCAGCACCTGTAACAGATCATCACACACACACAACAGGGACACCTAGTGTATGGGAGGAGGAGGGTCGTCACTTATTATATATATAATAAATAGTGCCCTTCAAAGCGACTGCATAGTGTTTCAGGAAGTACATGCGTCATAAACAGGAATACAACATTTGTGATTACCAAGCCTCTATTGTCTGTATGCTGGTTCAACTACAGGTGGAATGTGAAATGCTTTTTATGAGCTCTGTGTCATTTCTGAGAGTAGCATCATTGTGTTGAGTTGTGAAAGATTATTATGTATTATTTTGCATCTCAGCCCAGAGCCATATTACAGTGTTCTGTGATAACTGTGTGACATTCAGGTCAGCCAGGACGGACATGTGCAGTGCGGCTACAGAGTGAAACGGGAGCTCTACCTGCCCATCTACCTCATCGACTTTGCCATTTTCTACGTCATACCGCTGCTTCTCGCCATCGTGCTGTATGGCTTGATAGCGCGGGTCCTCTACCTCAGGTACTGTAAAAAGGTCGAACTGTAAGGGTTCTCTACCAAGTTCATGCATGTAATGTATCAGTTTATTCATCATAACAGAGTTGTACAATGTCTTCTGTGGCTCTGGAAGAGCTTTGTCATGCCTGAGAGAATTCCCTTGATGATTTTTTATGTCAGCTTGGCCTCGGAGCTTAAATATTTATATCAAAAAGCCTGCAATACAAACTGGAGGCATGGAGCTTGCAAGAGACAGGTACCTAACAGGTGAAATGATAGACTCTTTGGGTTCCAGTGGTTTTGGGCTCCAGTGGTTTTGGATAATGAACTAGGGACAAGTCAGGATGTTGCTAGGCTTGCAGAGTTGAAAACTTGCTTTGGATGAAAGGTTGATGACCTTTACCACCCAACACTGATAGAAATACACTGTGTTTATGACATGAAATATCAAGGTCATTATTAACTCAAAGGTTTGTGGTCTGCATTCAAACACCTATATTAGTTAGGCCTTTTTGCAGGATTTCGAGACCTGTTGAAAAACCCTACAGCACATGTTAAATGAAAAGCACCTCCTATCATCTTAATTTAGTCAAGAAACCAAAGCAACCAACACATCTAACATGCTACTTGTGACCCTCCAGCCCTCTGCCCAACCATTGTGACACAAGCGCCACCACACTGCGTCGGAGCTGCAGGGAAGCCTCGGTTACGGGGAAGGGAGGACGCCAGGCCCGGCCAAAGAGCGCCCTCTCCTCCAGGAAACAGGTTTTTACCTTATTCAACGTTTACCCCCTTTCCCATCAACCCCTTCTGCGCTCTCCTTTCTTGCTGTTCTTGCTGTCTTATCTATCAAGTAATTGCCGTTTGATAGCTTTAGTCACATTTGACCCCGGTCACGTCTTTGGCTGTGTGTGTGATCTGCTGGGAAGAGGCCGTGATTCCCTCTTTGCAGCATGGTGATGATGTCCCTGCTACCCATTGCCTCAGAAAAGTGGCCTCTTATCGGCCCGCTGTCCTGGCTGTTACAAGGCCCTGAAGGCAATCGTGGCGGTAATGGCTCCTTTTCCACAGGCTGAGCAGTCAAAGAGCCTTCTTACTGAGAAACGCTCTCTCTCCTGGGTTGCAGGCGTGCTGCATTTCTGCTCTCAGATGTAGAATACATTCTCTCAGGCTTTTCAGTCTTGAAAGTATCTACCTTCATAAGCCACTCAGAAAGGTTACCGCAAAAGTTGTAATATAATTAGCATTAACAACACATATTGAGTTTATAAACAGGCATCTACACAGGAAACAGCTGGAGCTATCAAGTAGAGGTTCGACCGATTCATCGTTTTGGCCGACTTTGAATTACTTTTTTCGGCAAATTGATCTGCGAAGATGTTTTACAAACTATCGTTATAGCGCTGGTCTGTGCCTGCGTTTGGGTCCACACTCACCCCGTGACACAACGATCTGGCCAACATGGACCCAGCAGACTTAGATTCCCTCCGTCAGGCTCTTGCCTCACAAGGCGCTCTCGTGGGCCAGCATGACCAACTTCTCCAGACCTAGGTGGAGTCACTCAGTTCCCTTTCCGCTGACGTGGGCCGGATTGGATATCACCTCGAGCGGGTTTCCACACAGCTTTCCTCTCCTGCCCCGGAAGCCCCTGCAGCTCCCCCAGCGCCTTCTCAACCCCCGCCTTCTCAACCCCCCCACCCAGCCCGCCTTCTGCCCCCGGGAGCCACACATCCCTGCACTGGAACGCTATGCTGGTGACCTGGGAACATGCAAGTCCTTTTTAATGCAGTGCTCCTTAGTTTTTGATCAGCAACCCTCTAGGTATGTAACAGAGAGAGCGAAGGTTGCTTTTGTTATGGGGTCACTTACCGGGAGGGCACTAGCCTGGGCTACCAGTGTATGGGACAGTCAGTCGTCGGCTAACTCCTCCTACCAGAGTTTTTCTGATGAGATGCGTAGGGTTTTTGATCACCCTATTAGCGGTAAGGACGTTCCTTCAAGCCTACTTTCCCTATGTCAGGGCTCTCGTAGCGTAGCAGAGTTTTCTGTAGACTTTAGGACTATTGCACAGGGCTCAGGGTGGAGCGACATATCTCACCAGGGGGTCTTTCTCAGAGGGCTTAATAGCCCTGTGAGAGAGGAATTAGTAATTAGGGATGACTCGGAGAGTCTTGATGCACTAATTGCCCTTGCCATCAGACTAGAGTCGCTTCCGTGAGATTAGGAGAGAGAGACCTAGCCGCCCTCTTAGTTTGCCATTCCCTTCCTCAGCTCCTTCTCCTCCCCCTCCCGTGAGAACCAGCCATGGGCCAACTTCGAGTTTTCAGGCCCTTCCTGCCGTCCCTGTTCCCTGCTCCCCACCAGAGGAACCCATGCAGCTGGGCAGAGCACGCCTTTCAGCAGAGGAGCGCCTCCGCAGGATCAGAGCAGGAGTGTGCATTTATTGTGGCCAGGCTGGTCATTTCCTGGCCTCCTGCCCCCAGCGGCCAAAAGAGGAGGCTCGTCAGTAGAGGTGGGGATACTGGTGAGCCAAACTACTCCCTCTTCAGTCCCACAGACCAGAATGCAGCTTGAGGCTACCCTCATGTGGAACCAGCAATCCCTTCCCCTACGTGCTTTAGTGGATTCAGGAGCAGATGAGAGCTTCATCGACACAAGCCTGGTTTCCCAAGCCGGAATCCCCATCCAGCCACTCAACACTCCCCTCCGGGCCTACACTCTAAACGGGAGGCTTCTCGCTCATGTTACCCATGTCACGGAACCACTGCACCTGGTGTTGTCGGGTAATCACCATGAGTTAATTCGACTCCATATCATATCCTCCCCTCACACCCCCTTGGTTCTCGGTCAGACCTGGTTAAGGCTCCACAATCCCCAGATTGATTGGTCGAAGAGTAGTGTTCAGAGCTGGAGCTCTTTCTGTCATTCCTCATGCCTGAGATCTGCCAGAGCTCCGACAGAAGGCTCTGCCCCCGCACTTACCACTGAACCCCTGGATCTGTCAGCTGTTCCCTCTATGTATCAGGATCTAAGGGAGGCTTTCAGCAAGAAGCAGGCTCTCTCTCTACCCCCGCACCAACCCTATGATTGTGCCATTGACCTGCTGCCTGGTGCTCCTTTACCCGCTAGTCGGTTGTACAACCTGTCTCGCCCTGAGCGGGAGTCCATGGAGACTTGCATACGAGACTCTCTAGCAGCAGGTATAATTAGGCCGTCATCCTTCCCGGTTGGTGCTGGGTTTTTCTTTGTGTCCAAGAAGGACCGTACCCTCCGTCCCTGCATTGACTAGCGGGGGTTGAATAATAATTGTGGACCACAATTTACATCCCAGGTATGGAAGGCTTTCTGTAAGGCTATTGGGGCATCTGTCAGTCTCTCGTCCGGTTATCATCCACAGACTAATGGACAGGCTGAGCGGGCCAACCAAGACCTTGGAGCGGCGCTACGGTGTGTCACAGCCCGGAATCCCTCGTCCTGGTGTGAGCATCTTCCCTGGGTAGAATATGCCCATAACTCTTTGTCAAGTGCTGCCACAGGGTTATCGCCGTTTGAATGTTCCTTAGGGTATCAGCCACCTCTCTTCCCAGTCCACGAGGAGGAGGTTGCAGTACCCTCAGTCCAGGCCCATCTTCGCCGTTGTCGCAGGGTGTGGAAGGAGGCCCGCTCGGCTTTACTACGATCAGCGGAACGCAACCAGCGCATTGCAGACCGGCATCGGACCCCGGCACCAAGATACAGTACCTGCCAGGTCAGAAGGTTTGGTTATCTTCAAGGGATATTCCGTTACAGACTGCTTCTAAGAAGCTTACGCCCCGTTACATTGGGCCCTTTGAGATAGACTCCATCATTAACCCTTCGGCCATGAAACTTAAGTTGCCTGCTTCGTTGAGGATTCACCCCACATTCCATGTCTCCCAGTTGAAGCCTGTCTCGGTCAGTCCACTTTTCCCTCCAGCCGTTCCCCCTCCACCCCCCCGGATCATTGATGACCACCCAGCCTACACTGTCCGGCGGATCCTGGAGTGCGCCGTCGGGGCCGTGGACTCCAGTACCTCGTGGACTGGGAGGGATATGGCCCTGAGGAGCGGAGCTGGATATCCCGCCAGCTCATCTTCGACCCTTCCCTCATCCGGGACTTCCATAGGGATCACCCTGGCAAGCCTGGCGGATCGCCTGGAGGCTCTCGTTGAGGGGGAGGTACTGTCACGGCTAGACTGTGTGTGTGTGTGTGTGTGTGTGTGTGTCATATGGGCAGGGCTCCGACCTGGTCTCCTCCCGGCTTCCTAATTACAACTCACCTCACCTGCCCAGTCAAACCAGCTGCACTCCATCAACTCATCAACCCAACAGTATATCTACCCCGGTTCTTCATCCACTCTTCGCCAGATCATTGTTACAGCTCATGTGTTTTTTCATCCTCCCGGTTCCCCAGTCTGCCTGCCCTGCCATACCTCCTGCTGCCTGGATTCCACCCTCACCCTCCCTGGATTTTCCCACTGTGCTCTGGTTATCCCCCCCCTTGGTTTCCTGTCAATAAACCTTTCACCTATAATCCCTGGTCTGTGCCTGCGTTTGGGTCCACACTCACACCCCGTGACACAACGCATTATTCTTTGGTTAGAAGATGTGGTGTAAACCTTTGCAGTCCCGGTGAACGAAGGATTTTGCGGCAAGCATTCAAGTGGTGTTCATATCAATCATGACCTGTTTTCAGCTCATCTCTCAAGTGAAATGCTGCGCACAGAACCATTGGTGGATTTGGTTTCAAGCCTGGTATGAACTGCTCAAAAACCAGGCTATTTATGAGGACATGTTCTGGCTGTGATGCGGCTGCTGGAGCTCAGCAAGACCACTCTAGACAATGCGTAGGTTCCACCAGACGCACTTCAGTAGTTCCAGTCTATTCTTGATGGGGCTGTGGAGCGTCTCCTCTACTGGTTGAGGGGATGCACCCAAATTAGCCCCCCCTGTGGTCTTTAAAGTAAGCATCCTCCTTCTGCTATCAGGTATTGTATGTGAAATTCAGATAAGAAATAATTATGAGGACGCATGTATTTTTAACTTAAACATAAAAAATACTAAAACTGTATTTTGAAGTACAATAAATTTTCCATTCATGTTCGTAACTGGACTTTTAACTGTATGAACTTTGTCTGCAGGCTACAGCCAAACAACAAAAAACTACTTACAAATGTTGGGAAATTGTAAATACCAATACATTGCTTTGTGAAATATTTTGCTTTTCATTATTTATTTTAAAATGAATAAAATTAAATCATCAATCATTAACCCTCCGGTGAAATTACTTCCGTGGACTGAAAATCATTGTTTTATGTGACGGCCTTCCCTTGGAGTCCTGTTTATATCCACTTGTTCAAACTATTTGTTTTAGCAGCTTTAAGGTTTTAATGTACGTGGGCTTGTAATTTGGATTTTTTATCAAATAACCAGATATGTTCCAACACTATTGCTCATGTTTTGTTCTTTTGTTTTGTGCCCATCTGAGCTGTGAATGTGCTCTAATTGCTATCGTCACTTAAACTATGTCTCTGCAGAAAAACATGTTTCCTTCTGTACTGCTGGATGCCTTAAAAGGACTTCTCCTAAGAATTATTGTGTCTGCAGGTTGTGCAAAATCCCAGATTACAGGATAACCCTTTAATTCAATGGGTGTGGAATGCTTTACCTTCCCATGCAACCTTTAGCAGAGGTTGTTTCTGTGTCACTGTGTTGCTCGTGAGTGTCTCTGCATGAACACGGGCCTGGGTGAAAGTGAACTCTTTTGCGAGAGCAGAGAGAAGATCCTAATCTTGTGTGTTCAAGGGGCTCCATCTAGGAGCAGAAGATTTGCATAATGGGATTTAGGATTTACATTGAAGTTTCCTTAATACCGCAGATGGTTTTGCTCTCTCAGTTCTTCAATGGGCACTTCATGCTCTTTTATTCTTTTGATAGGCAAACTCAATCTGATAGCAGTTTGATAAACTTGTGTATGCCAAAGAATGGCACTTTTATGATTAGATACTAATACAGTGTGGTGTGAGATTGTATAGTTTTAATCTCTGACAGTCTCTTCATGTCTGTGATCTCCTCAAGTGCATGTTGAGGAGGACAGATGGGGAAGCGTGGTCATTGTTTCCTGAGGCGAGGCGATAGCATCGGAGGCTAAATGTGAGTTCTTTGGCTCAGTGGGCTGAACGGTGCATCCGTTGGATTCTGGATTCGGTCTGCGAGCTAAAAAAAAACTCTGATTTGTTTGTAATGCTGGAGTCAAGTATCCTGCTGCCACATAATTACAGTCTTAATATGCATATTCAAAATGTCACTCCGGTGCTTTCTGTCTCATTATGGCAGAGGAGAGATAATTAGAAAGCTCTCTTCCACGCCTCCTTCGTATTCAATTAAACACTTGTGGTTTATGAGTTCATCCTTTTTAACTACCTGCCGAGGTGACCGTCACTGTCTAACTGCTCACTGCCCTGACACGGACCCTGATCTCGAGGAGGCGTTGGCATGATGCCTGGTGAACGTGGCTGCAGGGTCTGGGAGGGGGTAGGCATGTTATTTGCCACTGATGAGACTAATCGCTTGAGTCTTATGGGCTGACTCGGTCTAGTCCCCTCCCGGGTCTCCAAGGGGTTCAGAGAATGTCGGAGCCGTTACCATGGTAAGCAGCCCGTGGACCGGTGGGGGGGGAACACCTTTCTGAGACACTACAGCGCTTTACCATTTGAGGTTGAATGTCTTTGCTGTCCGTTTGGATCTCTTGGTTGGCTGCCGTTTCGTATGTTTGTGTAACACATAAAACTATGTATAATAAAAGTGTATAAAACATGGACAGAGCCTCTGTGACTCCATCTAGCTAAAAATGGCGCTGTCGGGAAAAACAAGGGGAGGCGGAATCTGCTTCTACATTAAAGAAGGTTGGTGTTCAGATGTCACAGTGTTGAAGGAATCATGCAGCCGTCACTTAGAAACCCTTTTCATAGACTGTAAACCATTTTATTCACCGCTGGAGTTCTCCTCATTCATTCTGGTCGGTGTCTACCTCCTCAGGCCTGTGTGAGTGAGGTGCTCCAACACCTAGCTGAGCAGATCACCAACATGGAGCACAAACAACCAGACTCCCTGCTCATTGTTCTTGGGGACTTTAACAGAGCAAACCTCTGCAAAGAACTGCCTAAATACAGACAACATTTTAAGTGTCGCACCAGGGACAAAACACACTGGACCACTGCTACACTGTAATAAAGGACACATATCACTCAGTCACCCGTGCAGCTCTGGGACTCTCTGATCATTGTCTGGTTCATCTTCTCCCGACCTACAGGCAGGAAGTAAAATCTGCAAAGCCTGTGGTGAAGACTGTGAGGAGATGGATCAATGAGGCAAAGCTGGAGTTACAGTCCTGCTTTGCCTGCACTGATTGGAGTGTTTTTCAGGCTGCTGCTACAGACCTGGATGAGCTCACTGACACTGTGACATCATACATCAGTTTTTGTGAGGACATGTGTGTGCCGAGAAAAACCTTCTGCACATTCAACAACAATAAACCTGGTTTACTGTAAGACTCAGGCAGCTTTGTCGGGCTAAGGAGGAGGCCTACAGAAGTTATTGTCCTTGGTGACTTTAACAAAGGAAACCTCAGCCATGAACTCCCTAAATACAGATTAAATGCTCAACCAGAGAGGAGAACATTTTAGACCACTGTTACACCACAATAACCAGGGCCTATCACGCCGTCCCTCGTGCTGCACTGGGTCTCTCTGACCACGTCATGGTCCATCTGATTCCTGCTTACAGGCAGAAACTAAAGCTCTGTAAACCTGTGGTGAGGAAATTCAAGCAGTGGACCATTGAAGCTATTGTTTGGACTGTACAGACTGGGATGTTTTCAGGACTGCTACCAACAGTCTGGATGAGTACACAGAGGCTGTGACGTCGTACATCAGCTTCTGTGAGGACAGCTGTGTTCCGGGGTGAGTTATAACAACGACAAACCCTGGTTTACAGCAGAACTCAGACAGCTAAGACTGCACAACGAACAGGCATTTAGGAGTGGGGACAAGGACTTGTACAAAGAGGCAAAATACAGGTTTAGCAAGGCGTGAGAGACGCTAAACAACTGTAGGAACGGAGGAGAGCGCAGACTGCGGCAGGCAGGTCCTAAATACCCCTGGGAGACTGGCCAGGTGTTCCCAATTCTACTGATAGGCTCCGCCTACAAGGGACCTGCAAGACAACATAGACAAGCAACAAGGGAAAGCCCACAGCAGACCTTGCTTAAAGCAAGAGGCTGTGAGTCCCCCGTCGACGCTGTGGAGTCCTTCCGCTTCCTGGGCTCCATCATAACCCAGGACCTCAAGTGGGAGCTGAACATCAGCTCCATCACCAAGAAGGCTCAGCAGAGGATGTACTTCCTGAGGCAGTTGAAGAAATTCAACCTGCCAAAGACAATGATGGTGCACTTCTACACAGCCATCATTGAGTCCATCCTCTGCTCCTCCATCACAGTCTGGTACGCTGCAGCCACTGCCAAGGACAAGGGCAGGCTGCAGCGCATCATTTGCTCTGCCGAGAGGTTGATTGGCTGCAATCTGCCATCCCTCCAGGACTTGTTCACTTCAAGAACACCTGAAGCGAGCAAGAAGGATTGTAACCGACCCCTCTCACCCTGGACATAAACTGTTCATGCCCCTTCCATCTGGTAGGAGGCTGAGGTCCATCAGGACCAAGACCTCACGACACATGACATTTTTTCCCGTCTTCAGTCGGGCTCATCAACAAAGCCCGGGACCCCCACTGACTCTGTCATCCCCAGGACAATTTCCTACCGGTCACTCCCCTGCACAATTTCCTACCGGTCACTCCCCTGCACATCCTCTAGGTTTCTTATTTAAATACACTCGACACTTTACATTACACCACTGTACATGTCACTTGTTTATAGTCCTGTTATCTGTTCATTTGTGCACTTTATTTTACATGTTATTGTGAATTTGAATATGTTTCTACTTTTTGCACTGTGTTGATTGTTTAATGTTATGCACCATCCGACATGTCAAATTCCTTGTATGTGCAACATACCGCGGCAATAAATGGTTCTGATTCTGATTCTGAAGTGGAGACAGGATCCTTTACAACCAGACCAGAAACACACTGACAAAAGAGATCAGGGTAGCAAAGACGAACTTCACTGAAAAGTTGGAAAACCGGGTTTCAGCCAACGACCCTGCGTCAGTGTGGACAGGCCTGCAGGTACTCACCATCTACAGGAGACCATACAACATCTAAAAATCATTGTTGACTATGTTTAATCAAATTCACACTACTGTTCTCCTTCACCCTCTGTATTTACTGCCTGTCCATTTCTGACTCCTCACTTGTCTCTGCTGCAAAAAACAGAAAATGACAAACAGCACATACATGTAAGCAAAATGGGTTTAATAATGATATATATATATGCAGTAATACTTTATTATGTCAATATAATTATGTGTAATTGTGTGTTTGTGTTTTTAAATTGAGCCTACAGGTTCCACTGTATAAACCAAAGAACATAAATATGTCTCTGGTGAAAACAGTTTGAATTGGACCAGGTGAGATTCTGTTTGTGTTGAACAGCATAATGCTGATCCTATCCTGGGCACAGTGGGCAGTACCTGCGGTTCATCTCTCATCTCCATCACCTTCTCTCTTTATTTTTCACTCAGTCTCTTCTCTTCCCAAAGCTGAGCTTTAAATAACCTTCGTTTCACCTCTCTGGCTCAGTGAGGAAAGTAGACACATGGAGGCTATTTAGTGGTGAAAGTGAAACTAACGAGCTGTAATGATTGCCAATGTTTAATGTAGGGGGACTGTCCAGCAGCTATTGGTCAGATGAGGTCTGGGGATGAATGGCATTGAACTACAAGCAGTCCGCTAGTAACACTATCTAGTTGTCGGAATCATGAACTGCCTGTCTGCTCTCCTCAAGTTGTTGACAAAATGAAAGAACCACCGTGTTGAGTAAATATTATGTAGTACCGTCAAGATCATCCACTTCATCACGTCACTGCCACACACACACAAGCAATGAGATGAGCAAGTTGTTTATCTTTTAGTCAAAAGATAATGAGGCCAGGACCTCCATGGTGGTACGGCCATGTCGGCAAACTCAAATGTTGAGTCGGTCGCTTGACTTTCCTCGAGGAACTTGATTATTTAGCTTGAAGCCCTCTCAAAATGGCAACCGTTTTTTGAAAAGTTAAACCTCCTCAAGTGTAAGTTTATACTGGATATCATTTTAAATTAGAGTTTAAAGTTTTAGTGGTTTAGTTTGAATTCAATATTTCCGAATTTTAAGCTTCTTTTAAAGTTTGGTTTAAAGTTAAACCATAATTGAATCATGTTTAAAATGAATCCTTGTTGGTGTAACCCAGCCGTAGAGGCTTTATCAACACAATCCTTCCTATCACATCTGTTTGATGGGGTTCTAATGGGCTGTATCTCTCTTTCTTCCCTACAGGTGACAAAGATGCTGGCAGTAGTGGTGATCCTATTTGCTCTACTGTGGATGCCCTACCGGACTTTAGTTTTGATCAACTCTTTTGTGTCCACGCCCTATCTGGATGCCTGGTTCCTCCTGTTCTGCCGGACATGCATCTATGCCAACAGTGCTATAAACCCTGTGATATACAATGCCATGTCTCAGAAGTTTCGCTCAGCATTTCGCGGGCTTTACCGCTGCCAACCGCCAGAGGGAAACCAGAGGACGCTGTCAATGATCCACACGGGCTTCGGCACCATTCGAGACCCCCGAGCCTCCCAGGCCAATAGCAATGGAACCGATGAAAATGCAAGGAGAGACCTCTTGAATACTGACACTGATATAACTACAAAGCAGAATGGAAGTGGTCATCAGGAGACAGCAACAGCCAATGGCAAGAAAGCAGACCACCCCATCGACATAAGCCCAGCTACTAGCTTTGGTGTAGGTCCAGCTGAGACGACACCATCTGGTGATGACGAGTTGGTTTTGCCTTCATTAAATGATGCTACAGTTTATTTAGCAGACAGACTTACAACACACGATAAGCAGGAGAGCATGTAAACTTCTGTATCGCCACATTGTAGGATATCTATAGATCTGTAACCACCGCTTAAATTCAATGCCAAAAAACAAACAACAAAACTATAAAATTGATCTGATTGGATCCAGTGGATTGCTCATGGGCAGGATCCAATTTCTGTCAAAACTAAATCTGAGAAGAAACATGAGCGTTTATTTTGTGATTTAAAAGTGGTAGATTTCACCTTGACCACTGAGATCACATGGAAGTAGATGAAAGATCATAAGTAGATGTCATACTGTGGTATGGAAACATTATTTCTTCGGTCACTAAATTGCATGTCAAAATGTTGGCTCATAAATGAATTAGAGTTTGTAGAAGAGAGGCTGCATATGTTTCGTTAAAAGCAGATTTTACTCTCCAAAAATACATAACCTGTTCTCCACAGGTTCTTGTTCTGAACCAAGACCTTAAGGAATTCAGATATTAGAAATTCAAGTAGAAAAATGAATAATGCGATGTTTCTGTAAATTGATAATGAGTTGAGTGTCTCTTTGTGTCACCCTTCATTCAGTCAAACAGTTTGACAAACAGATCTCAGTCCCATATTCAGCTGGCAGGTTGTCGGACAAAGAAACGCTGCTGTCATTGTGTCTTTGTGCACATCTGGCAGCCCAGAGCCCTCCGTCCTGTCCCTGTTCAGTCAGGAGGAGACCTACCGCACATATCAAGCAGCAATACTTTTCTCTGTGCAAATTTTATTTTATCTGTTTCCCCCCAACCCTTGTGGGCCCTTTTCTGTGGCGGGCCGCGGTAAACCCATGCATTAAGACGGCTGTTCATGAAACTCCTTATTTTTGATAATCTCTGCAACTTTTTATAATCAAAGGGCACATTGATTATAAAAAGCTGCTTTTTTCTTGCTTGTTCAAAATGACTTGCCACGTTACTTTGTTGGTGATTTCTGAATCCCTTGAGACATAATATGACTTTTAGGAGACATAGTCTTCCTTTGCAGGAGTATTTTTAACAAACATTGCAATGTTTCTTTAGCCTTAAGCCAGATATGCGATTTAGAAATCTAAAATACTGATCTGACTCAACATAATCATTATGTGTATCATCATTATCATATCAGTGTTATCATCATCATCATCAAGATCAACATCATTCAATTTCATGAGTGCGGAACACATGGAGACACTGACTGGTGTCGTGCTGTTTATTTGCTCTTTTAAATGGATAAACCTGACGTGTGTAAACTAGACTTTGATATTTTAACTTTTAAAAGGTGTTCGGTGTTTCCTCCTGAACTGTATTGTTGTCAGAATGCTAACGCGTTAAACGCAGTAAAGTTCACATTTTGTCCAGATATGTCATTCTACTGAGTGAGCATTCCAAAGACATCCAATATGTACAGCTGTGGAACTGATACTTGGTCTGAGATTTTTTCCACATAAACCTGACTCACCTGCTTATCCTCACTGACAAAGACAACGTACATGTTAAGAAATAAACTGTACAGCTAAAGAGTGCATTTTTTTGACATTTGATATCATTTGCACTCTTTGCCTTTGACCGTAGCGCAGCTAGAGAACTCATTATCCGTCCTTTAAGGATAAAGCCTCATCTCAGGACATAGAGATGTACATTGAACTACCTGTTCCTTCTCGCTGCATTGAGAGTTGGTCTTTATGCTTCATAGCATTTCATTACAGGGAACAAATCTTGAAAAGAACACTTGTTGCTGTCTTACCAAGGATAAAGGGAGAAGATTGACAATAAGTCCAGCACAGTAATCCAGCGCTAGCTTAGCATGTTTTATTTAGTTCAAAGGATACTTTACCCAATAACTGACCTTGTGTTACCTTCAGTTATTGAATGCATCCACGGTGAACGGAGAATCAAAGAACAGAAGAAAGTCTTGATGAAATGAAGTAAATGGGGGCCGCGTTTAACAACAGCAAAACTATACCAAAAGTATAGTCGTAAGTAATTCAAATATTAAGGCAATAGCAAGGATCTGCTTCAGTAAACTTGTCCCATAAATCAGCTCCAACTTTAACTGATGACAACACTGAGTGAACCTGTGTCCCAACAGGCACTCTCATTCCACTACCGTAGCACCTTAGCATGCTGTACACAGCTGAATATGATGTATTGAGTGGTATTAGCTTCCTGGCATCATCTTCAATGTAAGAAAGTGAGTGTAAATAACTTCATGTAATATTAAGATCACTTCTTTTTATCTAGTTAGCAGCTAGCAACATTCAGTTAAATGTAAACTCTGAAGCTATTATTTCCAAGGGGAAATGAAGCTCTGCATGTAACCCTGTTTCTGTTCCTTTCTCTGTTGCTGTAGTTACTGTAAGTGATGAATGTATGTATATGTAAGTTATGATTGTTTTCTTTCTGCAATTTGTGGAATGCACTGCATGCCTGCACTGATCTTGCTGGAGCTAGTTGGCTTTTGACGTAATTAGTACACAGAATGTATTTGTGTTTTTATATTCCCGACAGTTTGCTTCATTACTGATGAGTAAGCAGAAATCCTTCTCGTTTATTTACTGGACACTTGAGCTTTTATGAAATGTGCTATGTGAATGTAGCAGTGCTGATGTTCAATGAAAATAAATCATGTAAAACATTTGCAGACTTTTTATAATTTTAGGAAAGATTGAATGATTGTTTTGAGCATAACAAGCTGTAATCACAACAATGACATATCGTCCTATAAAGCCTTTTGCACTGTTAACAATGATGACTAATGATGGTAAGTGTGCGCACGCAGTTTGGCAACCGAAGTACGGCAGAGTGCAATATCTTGGCAAGAACATAAACCACCAAAGATTCATGTGGTCCAATATTTAGTGTCCACATATATACAGGTACCTGGTGGAGAAACCTAGCATGTAACGTTACAGCAGCAAGACACAAGTCACTAGATGATCAGCTCTGTTATCTGTGGTCATGTGCAGAACAACACCATGACAGACTCAGAGGTCTGACTTTATTCACTTTAATATGGGCGCTAAGAAGAGTTGAACCAATGAGCGTGTTCACTGGAGACCAGAATGCGTCGTGCTTGCACGTTTAAAGAATCGTGATCCTGTCTGAATTCTGTCGATCTTGAGTCCGCTGACTCTGATAACCGAACATGCAACCAACCATATAGTTTTAATGCAGTGTTTAAAACTAGCTGAAACTTGTATGATTGGCTGGGGCGTGATTGGCACGCGCATATTTTTGATGACATGGCAGTAGAAGGGAATCTAAAGTTCATTAAATGTTCCAATATGTTTAGCATCTAGTTGCTAACTTCCTGTCTGTTGGTGGTGCTGGATATGTAGCGTGCAGTGGGTTCATCAGAGCGGTGTTGCTGGAAATGAGGTTGATAAAAGCTGAGTTTGTGGTCGGTGAACCACAGCAATTAGCTGAAATATTTCAAAAGGCTCCATGGAACTGAGGGGAAGTGCAGAGTTGGTGATAATTCTCTGTGGTTTGTCACTAGCAACCTCTTTTTCAACTGCACATAATAATGACAATTACAAGAAAAGAAGGGAAAAAGATTAGGGCAGCTTTAAAGTTCACACCAAGAGGACAATAACTGCTTTCTTTTCTTGCAGAACTGCGTGATATTGAAGTGATGATAGATTCTTAAAGTGGAATTGTTTTACCTGTGTATTAATGACAAGCTCTTCATCTACAGATGTCTGTTGCTTGCCTCAGCGCTCATCATTCTCCTACTACCTTCCCTTTATGCCCAACAATTGTCATTTGGATTCACACGCTTTAGACTGGGGCTGTAAGAGGGTGGAAGGCGAGCTGAACAACTTCATGTAAATGCAAAAAGGTAAAAGCTAGTTTTGTACGGAGCTACAGCATGAGTACAAATGTTAGAACGTCTATGTCCCGCCCATTGTTTTTACACTTTCTCGTTTGCACACACAAAACACACACATATATGTATAGATATACATCTATACATACAGTACATATATAGATGTATAGATGTATATATATATATATATACGTATATATATATATATAGTGGAGCAATTCATTTGGTGATGAAGTAACAATAGTCTTTAGTTTCTATGCATCTGGATGTGTATGTATGGATGTGTGGGTACGTGTGCATTCTGAAAGAAGAGTACACACAAACAAGGAAATGCAATTCAAGTCAAACGTCCTCTGGTTAAGAAGTCTCTGCAGCTACTGGAGGGACAACAGTTGAATGACAATATTGAATTATTTCTAAAATGTTGGCACAGAGCACAGTGACTCACCCACTTATTTCTGCACACTTGGAAAAACACTTTGAAAAGACTTAGACTGTTATTATAAAGGATAATTGCATTGGATGATTACAGTGTGTGAATGGGCTGATACTAGCGTTGTACATCTCTCTTGGACCTGTGAGTGTGTGAGTGTGTGAGTGTGTGTGTGTGTCTAATTCCGTCATTATTTAGCTCTGGAGAGCTGCTGCTTTGTTGTGTTTTAAATGACCTGTAATCACTGGTTTTCAAATGTATTGATTTTTTAAAGTGGCTTTATCTGCAGCAAGATGATGTGTTCAGATATAAGCAATGCGCTCTGATGACTGGCTGTGATGTTATAGGATGTGCAGTGCAGTGGATTACTTTCAGTATTTTGAAAAAAGTCAATAAAAGCTATTTGTTGAAGTGTGTCTCAGTCACAACTCTTTTGGACTCTTCTAGTGCTACACTAGTTTGAGTGCTGCTTTTCTGAAACAATGACACAATATAGTTCACAAGAGTGTTGTAATGTCAGCTGTGACAAGACCGCAGCTGTCGATTATTGTAGTAATCGAGTATTCTACCGATTATTCCATCAAATAATCAAGTAAACGGATGAGATATAATTAAAGTTAGATGTACACATTGCCTTGAAGTTGTGCAATTTAACTTTCAGAACTGCAAGTTTTAACCGCTCACGTATAACGGTAATGTTTTCTTACTAACTAAAGAACATCACAACTAGAGACCAAATAGATCTACGTTCATAACTAGCTATTACATAACGCCATAATTAACATACATTCTTTACTAGCCATCTCAACCATCAACCATATTGATTTACGCCAAATGCAAACAGATTTACCTTGTGGGACACAGGATAACTTGTCATATTTGCATATGACAAGTTATTTTTGATTGAAGTTGCCAACTGTAGCTTTAAAGGGCAACGTTGTCTTCTGTTGTTCTACTGTAAGATCAACGGCCACATTGTCTCTGAATAGATCAACAGGATGAGCTACAAAGAGAAAGAAAGAAAGAAGTTTGTGATAGATGTCAAATGAAATCATTTATTAAAGAAATAATTCTCCACACTGACTCATTTATGTATGTTTTGAGAATGAATGTAAATTCAGAGCAAACTTTTTGTTTTGTCCTTTCATTACAGGGGAAGTGGGGGATTTCAATGATGGATATTTGAATTAGCGATGAGGAAAAATTAGCATAATAAAACGTAGCGAGGTGAAGAGGCCCTTCAGCGCCTGTGCTATGGCTTCAATATCAGCTTTGAACTCGGACTGACAGATGATCAACGTGACAGAACTGCAGCTGACATTCACACATGCTCTGTGGTTGAAGTGGAGCAGCAGTAATCTCATTTGGGACATGAAAAGACCATTTCTGCTCTAATTACTCAGTTTATTCCTCTATTTGTGAAAATGTGACTGAATGTCTCGTTCAGAGACCCCTGAAGGCCGACCGGAGAGTGGTGTAGGTCTAACACAGACATCAATCTCTGATCAACTCTTCTCCAAGTGCCCATTAACTTTGGAGTGTCACCGTATGTAGTCACACATGGCCGTGGAGCGCATGAACAGGTTAAATGTTGAACTGGAACATGAACATGGCACCTTGCTCATTCAGCTGCTGAGCTGTTTAATTGATGCTCAGCTTTAGGATAAAGCAAATACATTAATGATAACCGGGCCGTGGTCCTGCTTGGTAGCGGGGCTGACTGCAGGTTTCTGTCACTGTAGCAAGTGGTGACCAGTTCCCTCCACAGAGAACCGAGTCAACTTTTCCTAACCTTTCTGTTTACGAGGGTAAACAATAGGATTCCACAGGACTCACAGAGGGGGGCCAACGGGCTGTTAGTGAGAAATCTGAACCCTGAGGCAGATTTCACAACAGAACTGCTGAGAGAGGGAGCGATAGATGTGACTACATCTTCATCGCAAAAAATCCATGCGATTAATCGCGATTAAATATTTTAATCGTTACCCAGCACTAATATATATATATATATATATATATATATATATATATATATATATATACGCAGTGGTAGAGCAGAGTCGTCCTTCAATCAGAGGATCGGTGGTTTGATCCCATGTCAATGTGTCCCTGGGCAAGACACTTGACCCCAGATTGCTCCCGTAGCTGTGACTACAGGGTGTGAATGTTAGTTAGAGTCCTGATGGGCAGGTGGCCCCTTGCATGGTGTCATCGGTGTATGAATGGATGTGAATGGGTGAATGATGACATGTAGTGTTAAAGCACTTTGAGTGGTCAGAAGACTAGAAAAAAGAAATACAAGTAGAGTTAATTTACCATCATAGTTTTGTTGGGAACATTGTGAATAAAGCATAGTTGTGCTGCCGTAGCAACCTGCTGTTGAAATTTGGATAACTTTTGTGGTCATTTTGTGTCATCATAACTACAAAGTAATATAGTTTGTATTTCTCACATTTTTTCATAAATATTTTGTGGTATGAAGTATGAAACTGATTTCATTTAGGGGGTCCAGTATCTCAGGCCACCTTCGTCTCTCAGACCTGCTAAAATCTCCTTTCTTTATATGATGGCATTTCATTTTTTAAGTGTTAATTTTTCCTCACAGAGGGATTGTTGGATAAAAACAGAGAGGGCAGGATAAACAAATCTAGAGATACCATATGTTTTACTCATAAGAACTCTACAAGGACAAGGACAAGGACGAATCCTCTTGAAGCCACATGTTGAGCATAACTTCATTTTTTTGTACTTGAAATCATTTTCCTGTCCTTCATTAAGATTTCTGGAACTATGAATTCCAAGGTATTCAACATTTGTAAAACTAGTAAATCACATAATAAAGTTTCCTCTATGTTGTAGGAACATAAGATTTTACATTTTGAAACATGAAGTTTTCGGCCTTATGCCAGAAAGAAGGATGCTATCTTATTGATTACTTCCTCCATTTAATGTTGAGTTATTCTGATCTCACTCAAACATTCTTACACCTTGAAGATGACAGCATTGTAAAGTAAGAATTGAGAGCAATTCAACAACTATATAAAGATGCCGAACTGGTAAACTGCTATATGACACAGCTACTGTCTCTATAGAGCATGCTAACATTGGAGAGGACTGTCTTAACAAAGACACAAGTTTGAAGTGACCTGAACAGGAACCGGTCCTCCACTGTGCATTATAACAATTCCAGAGATGAAACGAAAGCATCTGATTCTACACATTCAGTGGAACCAGTTGGATGGAGAATAAGCCTAACAAATGATGTGATGATGAACCATGGAGCTGATTT